TATTAATAATAATAAAAATTTTATAATTTTAAAATTTTATTGTTAAATATGAGAAGAATGCAAAACAAAATATAAATTATGCAAATTATTTTACGGAAACAAAAAACGCCTAAGTTTTATTGCAATTTCACTCTTATTTGACCTTTATGCCAATTTTACCCTGAACTGTAACCTATTATTGCAATTTCACTCAAATTTGATCTTTATACCAATTTCACTTTAAACTTTGACCTTTTGTTGCAGTAGCATCCTAAATTATATCCAGGACATAAAATGTAAATAAAAAATAGTTTCACTCTTGACTTTGTCTTGGATTAACTTAATACATTTGTGTGAATAATGGAGTTTGGGTTAATGGTGAGGAAAATCTCTATTATTATTTTTAATATTTTTAAATTCTTTCTTTTCTTGATAATAAGTTATATTTAAAAATTAATTATTTGATACATGAACTTTTTTTTTTAAATTCGAAAGTGCTAGTGCAATAAAATATCAAAGTTCAAGGTGAAATTGGTATAAATGTTATATTAGAGTCAAATTACAACAAAATATTAAAATTCAGAGTAAAATTGATGTAAAAGTCAATTCAGATTAAAATTACAATAAAACCTAAATTTGAGGGTAAAACCATATATTAAGCCATTTATTATTCACGGATGATAATTTGGCCAAAGTGACCCTTATACTGCTAAATCAACGCTTTGACGGGCCCATGTATGCATAGACAGTTTTAATTGCAATTTTTTTAAATCTAGACACTAAAATAGAAGGATTGAACGTTTGAAACATAAAATAATTTTGAAACTCAATTGCTTATTTAATACTCCTTGGTCCCATTTTATTTACTTGTTATTTCTTTTTGAGACGTTTCAAAATATTTGTAAGATTTTTAGTTTTAAATATTTAAATAATTATTTTTCTCATAATAACTTTTATGGTTGTTTATTAAATAAAAAGACTTTTATTAATATTTTAATGAGTTATAATTATTTTTCTCATAATAACTTTTATGGTTGTTTATTAAATAAAAAGACTTTTATTAATATTTTAATGAGTTAAGGAAAAAAAAAGGTAAAAAAATTTTTAGTGACTAAATTCTGAATATGTATATTTTATCAAATCATGCAAACAAAATGAGACGGAAAAATATTATCTTTTGAAACTCAATAGGGCCAGGACACAATGAATGACTTCAGTCAACAATAATAAAACTTACCACAGGTCCACAGATTTGTTGTCATTGTAGCAGAAAAAGACCGATTCACAGAGGTCCTTTGATTTAGAGATGTTCCTGAGGAGAATGTAAGGAGAAGGTCTTTTTGATTTTTTGAATATGCCCCTCCAAAGGTTTGAAAATATGCCCCCCAAAGGTCGTTTTGATCCTTTGTTCAAGAAAGGAGGCTGTGTCTTATTTGCAGAGTAATGAAAGAGATTTGAAAGAAGAGAAAAAATTTTGGTTCCAGAATTGGGGTGGCATTAGTGCAATGGGTGTCTTTTATTTAGAACTGTGCCCGTCAAAAAAAAACGTTTATCCTGGGTCATTTGGTCCTTGGATTTGTCTGGATTTTCCATTGCCATCCGATTTTTTTGTCCATCAGACCGGACTAATCACTGATTTGCAAATTAACTGATCTGATTCTGTCTTAAAAACACTGATTTTAATGGAAAAAAAAAAAGATTTGCCTTATACTTATGTGTGATCCCATTTATAGACCAAGCAAATAAAATAAAACAAAAAGTATTTCAATTTTGTTTAAATGTAAGGTGAAATACCTTCATTTTAATTTTATTAGTTTAGTCCATAAATGGAAATATCGACCGAATCTAGATAAGTTTTTTCCGATTTTACTAGCCAGCCTCTCCATTTTGCTCGGAATTAGTAATTATCCACCTAGAGTTGAAAAGCGAAAATACTATGGCTTCTATATGTCAAATATAAATAAATAATTAATTAAAATCACAATTAAGCAAAAATAAATGATTTATAGAAATAATATTAATGTTTCTCTCAATAAATGATTTATAGAAATAATATTAATGTTTCTCTCGTAGTGAAAAATAGTTGAACGTTGAAACTAAGTTTTTAATATAAAAAATAGTGTAATATTTCATTTTTTTTTAGGTTATAAAAATTATGATACAAATTAGACTTATTCTACAGTTCAATTTCCATTACTTCGAATGCTTTTTATTTTTGACCGATATAATGTCATATCCTTTTACTAAAAAAAATATATATTTTTTTAACACTTTAAAAAAAATTGTATATAATATCGATATATATGTATATATTATATATTTTTTATAATTTAATTTTGTAGAATTTTGAGTGATTAATTTGATCCGAATAGCAGTACTTATTCTAAAATTAACTACTAGTCTATCTAATAGTAAACTAATAATTATTTATGAAAGATTAAGAAAATTAAAAAAAATATAATTTTAATTTTCATGCCAAATAAATGCTAGGTTTTCAGTTAATAATAAATAATCTATTATTCCTTTCAAAAAAATAAAATAATCTATTATAAAATATATATATATATATATATTATACTATATAATATAAAATTTAAGATAGTATTTCAAGTCTCTAAAAGATATATATATAAAATTTAAGATAATTTAGTCTAGCTAGTGGTTGGTATATAATCAATTCCATTCTTGGCAAAAGATTGAACGGTGGAGTCACAATCATATAATAGTTTCTTAATTAAAAAAATTCGAATTTACCTTCCTCAATACTAAAAAAAAAAAAAAAAGAAAAATACGTTTGTCCTTCCCATTCAATATATAAAAATGCCATGGGCTTGTCTGCTCATAGACGTAGCTTTTCCTTATTTTTGTTTCCCTCAACTTCCATGAAGCACCTAATTATGGCTACTCCTTTGAATTTTATATTCATTATTTTCTCTCTGGGTATATCATTCCCATTTTCATCTTCAACACTTCGTAATGCATTTAATGAAGGCTCATCTCTTTCTGTTGAAAACCCAGACAACATTTTGCGTTCATCTAACGGCATTTTCTCTGCTGGGTTTTACCCAGTTGGAGAAAATGCATATTCTTTTGCCATATGGTTTACTCAACCTTCTTGCTTTAACACTTGCACTGTTGTTTGGATGGCAAACAGAGACATACCCGTTAATGGAGAAAGATCAAAGCTTTCTTTACAAAAAACTGCCAATCTAATCTTAACTGATGCTGATAACTCCATTATTTGGTCTTCTAACACTTTCTCCCTCTCTCCTTCATCTTTAAACCTGTATGATAATGGAAATCTTGTTCTTATTACTACAAAAGAACGAGTAATTCTATGGCAAAGCCTGATAACTCCATTATTTGGTCTTCTAACACTTTCTCCCTCTCTCCTTCATCTTTAAACCTGTATGATAATGGAAATCTTGTTCTTATTACAACAAAAGAACGAGTAATTCTATGGCAAAGCTTTGATTCGCCTACTGATACTCTTCTTCCTTTACAACCATGTACTAGAAACTCAATTCTTGTTTCTTCAAGAAGCTCAACAAACTTTTCTTCTGGTTTTTATAAGTTATCTTTTGACAATGATAATATCCTTCGCCTTGTTTATGATGGTCCAGAAGTTTCAAGTGCTTTCTGGCCAAGCCCATGGCTGCTTAGCCGCGAAGCAGGGAGATCTTCATATAATAGTAGTAGATTTGCTTCGCTTGATTTGTCTGGAAAATTTACTTCATCTGATAATTTCAGCTTTCGCTCTTCTGATTATGGAGTGCAAAATATTCAAAGAAGATTGACTCTCGATTTTGATGGGAATCTAAGGTTATACAGCAGAGAAAATGGGAATAGCAAATGGGTAAGATTCATGGAGCTTGTGGACCTAACAGTGTATGTAAGTATGATCCTAGCTTTGGCAGAAACTGTTCTTGTCTTCCTGGTTTCAAAATGAAAAATGTTTCTGATTGGTCCTTAGGCTGCGAATCGGAAATCGATGATTCTTGTGGTGCGAGTAATGCTTCTTTCCTTAAATTTGATCGTGTAGAAATGTATGGTTATGATATTGGATACTTCGAAAATCATACATACGATATGTGTAAGGAAATATGCTTAAAAAGATGTGATTGCAAAGGTTTTGTGTTTAAGTATATTTTCCAAAACCGTCCTGATAATGTTCCTTACTGTTTTCCCAAGACACAGTTATTAAACGGATATCGTTCGCCAAATTTTCGAGGATACTTTTACTTGAAAGTACCCGAAACCATGAGATCCCATGACTTGTCACTTAAAGAACAAAGTCTTGAATGTTCTATTGGAGCTGTTGAGAATCTTGAAAGAAGGTATGTGAAATCAAATGAGAGTTGGTCACAGAAGCTGTTGATTTGGTTTGTTAGTGCAATTGGGTTAATCGAGATTCTTGCAATAGTTTTAGTTTGGATTTTCTTTTCTTGCAATAGTTTTAGTTTGGATTTTCTTCATTAGAACTCAGCAAAAGAAAGATTCAACAATTTCTCAAGATTACTTTCTTGCTGCTACTGGTTTTAAAAGATTCACTTACACTGAGTTAAAGAAAGCAAAGAACAAGATAATTTCAAAAGAAGAAATCGGAAAAGGAGCTAACTCGGAATTTGTGGTATAAAGGAATATTAGCTGATAAGGAGTTGCGGCCAATTAAAACGACTGAACGATACAAGTCAAAAGCGAAAGGTGAGTTTCTTCTAGCAGAAGTAAGTACAGTAGGAAAACTTAATCACATGAACTTAAATAGAAATGTGGGGATATTTGTGGAACAGAAGAAAAGCAACAGGCTCTTAGTGTATGAATAATACTGGAAAACGGGATCTTTTGGGCTAATAAGTTGTCAATCCAAGAAACCTTGACTTGGAAAACTAGGTTCAAAATCGCGGTAGGCACTGCTAAGGCTTGGCTTATTTACATGAAGAGGCTTAGAATGGGTTAATACACTGCGACGTAAAGCCAACATAACATAGCTCTTGGATTCTGACTACCAGCCCAAAAGTTACCAGCCAAAAGTTTCAGATTTTGGGTTATCTAGGTTATTTAGTAGAGATGACCTAATTGGCAATTTAGGGTTTTCAAGAGTAAGAGGTACAAGAGGTTATATGGCTCCTGAATGGATATTTAATTTGCCCATTACTTCCAAAGTGGATGTTTATAGCTATGGAATTGTAGTGTTAGAGATGATTACGGGAAGGAGTCCATCAATGGCTGGCTATGGTGATAATGGTGGTGAGGAAGTGGAGAATATGAGATTGGTCGAATGGGTGATGGAGAAGAAAAGAAGAGCTTCTGAAACTAGTATTTGGGTTAAAGAGATTGTGGATCCTGTCTTGGGGGTGAATTATGAAGCAAAGAAAATGGAAAGTTTGATAAGAGTGATTGTGGATCCTGTCTTGGGGGTGAATTATGAAGCAAAGAAAATGGAAAGTTTGATAAGAGTGGCATTGAAGTGTGTGGAGGAAAGCAGAGATGGAAGACCCACCATGAGTCAAGTGGTTGAGATGATTTTACAACTTGAAAGTTATCATTAATCAGCTGGAGAAAGTAAAGAAATTGATGTAATGTTGCTTATAGTAATTGATGATTTTCATGCATGTAATTATATTGTATAATCCAAACTTGATTTTCTGTTGTTAAATAATTTTAACATTATTTATTACTCGTTCAGTTCAGTTAATTTTGACTATTTGTTATTTTCCATTTTAGATGACACTTTTAAAAATTAAAATATATTAATTATTTTATTTTAATTTTATCCATGTATAAATTACTATTTATACGAAACTTTGTCTCAATTAACATGATTTATATATAATGTTGATATATATATATTTATACTTATAAATAGCTAAACAAGTTAACATGAATTTACCTTTCTTATATTGAAAGATAGATATTTTTTCATCGTTATTAGAAGAATAATGACAAAGTTTACCTTGCTTTCATCCTTATATTTTATGTATGTAGAATATTAATGTTTCAACAAAAATAAATTATTTCAATAAAAAAAAGAAGTAAGAATATATATTTTTCCATTGGTTTTAATTAATGATAAAATCTTATTTTCATAAATAAATAAAGTGTGAAAAATGATATAGATAAATATATTATATTAAATCTTTATTTGCAGAAAATAGCAGCCCAAGTGGATGTTGTGGGAATATTAAATCTCAGGTTCGCTTCGCTTCACATTAATATTTAGCAAGTGCTTAATTTTTTTTCTATTGAATTCGGCTGCTTTCAAATGTAATGTATTTTTATAATTAAAGTCTATTTCTTAATGTATTTTGAGTACATGGTCAACGAAATAAGTACATGATTGGTAAACGAAAAAAAAGGAAAAAAGAAAAAAGAAGTAGCGACCTTGTTCCATTTTGAGTGATTGGTAAACGAAATGGTGCTGTTCCATGATAAAGATAGAGGTGTATGTATCTTATCTGGTCCTCTGTTTGGCTTTGGAATTTCATGATCGATAGTCCATAATATGCCAAAGTCAACTGCAGGACGACTTTGAATAAAGCATTCCAACGAAATCAATTCGGAAAATTATAAATTTGTTCCTATATTATGTTAAAAATCAATTCGGAAAATTATAAATTTGTTCCTATATTATGTTAAAATTAATTCCTCTATTTTTATATTTTTTTTAAATATATTACTTTATCTCTATATTTTGATTCTGTCTAATTATTTTAATTTTCTTTCAATATTTTTTTAAAAGCGAATATTAAGTAGGAAATTAAATATTTTTGGATCTAAATCATGACCAAATTAATATTTATGTCCCTCAATATTTGAGTAATTATTCACTTTTCAACTCATATAAACGGAAAAAAAGGTAAGAATTTGGGTGGAAGGGTCTCACAGTGTGACGGCAGTATTACTTAAGTTCTTCAAAATAATTATTTAAACGTTAAAGGATCTAAGTGTTAATTTGGCATAATTTAGAGATCCGAAAATATTTAACCATTTTTTTTATCAAGTGATAGGAAAAAAATTTAATTGATGTTCGTATTAGTTGATTTGTAGTTGATTTGTATTTATTAATGATATATCACTATATTAACATTATAAAAATATTTTTTTCTCAAATTTAATATTTTAAATGATCGTTCATTTTATTATATATTTATTTGAAAATAATAAATAAACTATTTAAAACTTATTAAAAAAGATTTATTTTATACATCACATGTAAATTAAAAAAATAGTATATTTTTACTTTTTAAAAAAAATAAAAAATAAAAAATATATGTATGATATGTAATGAGATATAAAAATAATTTTATCCTTAATGGTCATTTTTGTATTTTAATAGTAATTATTATTAAAAATTTACTGAAATAATTAAATTTGTCTACTAATAATCACCAAATAATGGGCTTAGTACGTCACAACTCCATCAAAGAGGGCCTTTGACCCAAAATTGTGTAGAAATTGTTTTTCATGGACTTTGTGAGGGCTAGTAAAGTAATCACAACTTTGACCGCATATTTCAACCCATAATTTTTGGGATAATTACAAATTTAATGTCTAAAATAAATTTAATGTCTAAAATTTCTAGAGTCAATATTTTTTTTTTTTTTACTAATCAAATGTATAAATTAAAAAAAAAAAAAATTCTCCACACCAGCAAAATTTATTGGTGCAAGTACTAGCAAGTTTGCAAGACCAAGAAAAGTGCAACTGCAAAATTTGTATTGCGATTTTCAAGCTTTCCAATTTGCAAAACATATCTCCAGTGTGTAACATATGGATGCAAAATCAACAAATAATTCCTTGAGATTTCAATCAACCTCCACACCTCTTCTCAATTTCATTTTTTTTTTTTTTTTTTTTTCTGGAGTGATTTTTTTTTTTTTTTCTTTGAGAGTGAAGAGAAAACTGAGGAATATTCCTGGCACAATAGCATTTCACAAGTTTTTTGAGAAATGGTAACAATCTACTCCAAGCTTTAGCATTCACAAGTTTTGAGAAATGGTACAATCTACTCCAAAGCTTTGGCCATGATGGAACGCTGAGAGAGTTGCTGCTCATACAGCTGCCGGAAAATATGGTATTTGGCATCATGATACTTCTTCACCTTTGGGTCCTTTGATGGATGAATAACCTGTAATATTTAAGGAAATGATAGAACGACACAGACTCAGCTAGCTTTAGAACCATAAATGGCAAGGTATTGCCATTCAAATTAAACAGGCAGTAAAGGCCAACTTAACAAAGTAGAACAGCAAGCTGAGGAGTGGTGTGTAATTATCCAAAACATGAAGTGACTAAAGGATCAAAATGAAAGTAACTTGGACTGGCCACTGCGCCAAAGAGTAGCTTAAGAACCAAAATATAGTCCTAGTATAATTATGGCACAATCAGCAACATTATCCCTTATATGACAAACGAAAAGTCACTCTGGTGAAGAACAAATGTACAGTGGCATCTATTACATGAAAGTGACGTACTGTCAAAAGGCACAGTGACCCTAGCAGAGAAAGTTCATATATTTTAGACATTAATATCCATTAATGCCTAAAGCTGCGAATGAGTCTCAGAATGCATCTGTGTAGTGAAAGGCTAAAAAACATGACCACATGCCAAACTACTGTAAAGCAAGACTATGAGACATAACATAATTAGATGTGCATCAGTGATAGAAGCAGGGTTAGGCATAAAGTTCATAGCATAAGTAGATCAAGTCAAGCCCTGGACAGCTAAGGTTCTCTGCCAAGGTTGTAGGTCTCATTTATTCAGATGTGCTGCTACCCATTTTCAGACTCCTATTTTAGCAACGTCCTTACGATTTATTTACAATGTTTCACAACAATCTGTGACATAAATCATTTTACAGGTTAATATTTATTAGAGTCCAGTTGCCTCAAAGTCCGTTAATATTTATTAGAGTCCAGTTGCCTCAAAGTCCATTTTTTTTTTTTTTTTCCTTTGTGAGGTTGTAAGAAGTTGGTGTAGGGACAGGAAGAGTTGGCTAAATGGAATTCCAACAAAAACCGAACACTCTACTGCACAATTTTACATGGCATTGACTAACAAAAAAATATGCATTATTATCCTGACCTGGAAAACCTCTTTCTCAAAATATATATTTTTTGTCCGTGTCCCATAAAAGTCTTAAATCGAACTGAAGATTGAAGAGCTAGAATTCTCAAGCATACCTGACCAGCTTTATTCAGTGCCCTCATGGCCTCACTAAGACTGGCATATTTCTTTGCAGCAACAGCACCAAGAATTGCAGCACCCATTAGCACAGACTCACTTTCTCTTGGAAGTATAATAGGGCAACCTGAACCATTCATTAGCAAGTATGTGTTATGTTAATATGGCAGATATGCATAGAGCATTGTTATGTTAATATGGCAGATATGCATAGAGCATGACATCCTAGCACTTCTTATTATGTTTCTTCTTGTCCAGATAAAGCTGATTGCAACCAGAGCTTGCAGAGTAGAACAAATACTGCAACTACCGACCATTATCAACCTATTGGTACGAGTATGAGCAGACCACAGAGTTTGCTTTGCTCATCTTTTAAGACAAAAAAAATTAAAACATTGCAGAAAAAATAGATTAATCAACCATTCATGCTAACTAAGAAGACTTTCCTAACCAGGTATATTCATAGCAGTTCACCAGCTAGCAAACCATGCAATCTAACCCAATACATTAACATGGGGAAAATTTAAGAAACAATAGGTACCAAAGTTAAATACACAGAATTGCAGTGAAATTGATTGAATGATATAAGCAACAATGAAGCGACAGAAGGATCGAAATTCAGCACATTGCCAAATAACTTCGGAAATTTAAAATCTCTGAAGAAACTTGACGCAACCGGAAGTGGCATAAAAACATTATCATCCTCTTTCAATCAATCAAGCCGATTGGAGCGTTTGAATTTTAAGGGATGTAAAGGTTTGACAAGCCGATTGGAGCGTTTGAATTTTAAGGGATGTAAAGGTTTGACGGTATGGCCTTCTTCGTTGTCCGGTTTGAATAGCCTACAGATGCTTCATCTGAGTAACTGTGGTATATCAGAAATTTCAGAGAGTATTGGATCATTAGTTTCATTGAAAGATTTATATTTAGAAGGAAACGATTTCGAAAGCATTCCTGCAAGCATCAAACAACTTTCTAACTTGGAGATTCTTAGGTTGGATGATTGTAAGAGGCTTAGATATTTGCCAACGCTTCCAGGCACAAGGTTTTTTTCTGCATCAAATTGCACCTCTTTAGAATTTGTATCATTTCCGTCCTTTTCCAAAGCAGAAACAGAAGGTGACTGCATCAAATTGGGTGATATTGTATATCTTCTATTTCCGAACATTGATCTTAATTTTGGTAACTGCATCAAATTGGGTGATAATGTACGTCTTCAAATTTCGGAAGCCCTGTTCTCAGCACAGCAAAGCCAGAACGAATGTTTCCTTTCTCTAATATTAAATTAATAAAGAAGTCCTTATTTAAAAAAAAATCTTAATTAAGATTTTCGATGATAAACATCAATGGAATATTTTCCTAACTTGTGAATTTGATAATTAATTTATGCTTTGACAAGGGAAGAGAGATAAACATAATAAAATTAAACTATATATCATCTTACCATAAAAAAAAATATCACGAAAAGATTTCAATAGTTATTATGGGCATTTTTTAAAATTTGTGTTTAAATTGTCCATTTACTCGTTCATCAGCTATTTAAATTCAGCTCTATCGTTATTTAATTATGATATTCTTTTAATAAAATATATTTTCATGGAGCAAGGCCATCGATTATGTATCCCTGGGGTGGAAGTGCCGCAAAGTATGAAATATCGAACAAGGGGTCTCATCTTTCAGTTCAGTTAGAAAGGCCTGATGGTATGTTGGTTTTTTATTTTTCCGCTGTTATTGATTGCCAAGGTTTTGATTTATATGAGTATGGCATTACAGGTTTTGGGAATTTCCAAGATAAATCTGGAAAGATGTATGACTATGGCTGTGACTATTATTTTCGTCGGTATGGGCTTCCTAAGTTATATTCAAAACATGTGGTCCTTGGGTATAAATCTTTTGATCAAGAATGGAATTTCACTCGAGTCTCATTCCATGTTGATCATTTCTTTGTAAAGCGTGGCGAAAAAGCTGAAGTCGTTAGTGGGAGGGTGATCAAATGCGGCATTCATCCTATATATCGGGAACAATATAGGAAAGCCAAAATAAGGAATGATTAAAACCAAGAAGGATGGTATCAGGGAGAACTAGACAAGGATACAGTACAAGCGGCGAACGCTGAATTATGGGAGAAGAATTCAAGACAAAGACTCTGATTAAGGTCAATTAGTATGGCAAATGGAAATTGACAATAGGTAAAAGAATTTATAGTTTCGTGTGTTTTACTTTGGGATTTTGGTTGACTTCAGTTTTCAATTCACAGCATCACAGTAGTGGAGAGAATCAGCTTATTATTGGCTGTTACTTAGCTTATTATTTGACTAGTACTTGGCTATTAGCACTTGTAATAGTAATCTATTTCCAAGTTTCCGCAGTTGAGATTGGCCATAGTATCTTAAAGGGCTTGTGAAGTTGCCGGAAGATTTGTAATCATTTGTTTTAGTTATCCTAAATGCCTTGTAATTATTTGCTAGTTTGGAGTTTTGGAAGGGAAGTATAGATTGATCTTTTAAAAAAGATGTTTGCTTCATTTCAATTGATCTTTCAAACAAATTTTGTAAATTGGGTTCAATTATATCAAGCAACTCATATAAAATATTTTTCTTTGGATCTTTGATGCTATTATCAGCCTCATCAAAAAAAAAAAAAAAAAAAAAAAAAAACCCCTATCAAGTCTTTATTGTTTTTTCTTTTTATTATTTATTTATTACGAGTTTCAATTAACATAAGAATAACATTATGAAACTATATAATATAATACCCTCTTTAAATTCCATTAAATTATAAAAAATTATTCATCATTTAACTTTTTTGAAATTAAATTAATTTTAAAAAAATTAATTTTTAAAAATATTCTTACATTTAAAAATATTTCTTTGATAATATAGAATCTAGATATATAATTAACCAAAAATAAGAATCTCAATTTTTTATAATTAAACTAATACAATTAGATGCCATTTAAAAATATTTTCATCATAAATGTATTGTATCTGCTGCTACTGACTTGACACAAGCTTTTCTGTCAAGACGGGTGATTAAGGTTGGAAGGTAACAATTAATTTGACTTTCCTATAATATCTTTTTTTTAAATTCTATTTTTATGGTAATATTTTTATGCCACTTGCTTTTATTTCACTCTCCATCCACAATTTTAAATCCCAAAATTATCTGGCAATCCGTTGAATTTCAGACAATCTGTAACATCAATTCCTTGAAGAGATAATTGAACTAATTTACAAAATTTAATGTGACATGTAACACCCCTTCCCGGTCCACCCGTTAACCCGAATGAACCGAGTCGAGATGTTACAAAACTAGATGACTTTATGGTCTGACATGCTGAAAAAAATATTACTGCTATATTGAATATTAATAAACATGCTGATTACTGTTTCCAAAAATTTAATATAATTTATAAATTTACAAAAAATGATAACAAGTTTACAAATGAAATGGGCCCATACTTGCTATTCATTATGCTGTATGACTTATGCACTTTTAGTCACATCATATAAATTACGATTAATAACATCTCATGACTGTATGACTCTTTACAGAAGCAATAATTAAACGTGTAAGCATATACAACAATATACGTTCATGATCTTACCTGATGTTCTTTATGTTGTATGAATTCTGCAACTCTGATTAAACTCAGTGAATATTACAATGAATAAAGCACATACATGGATAGAAATAAGCATGTAAATGCATATGGATAATTAAACATATAAGCACATATAGCATGATCCTTTCATTATACCTTGATTATCTTTCGTACTGGTTATAATACTGTATGATTCATGAAATGTTATGTCAAGATATCTGAATGGCTCCATAAGGTTATAGTGAAACCGAAGTGATAAGAAAAATGTGGGTCCCGAATATATATGGCACAACCCAAGAGGGGAGTGAATTGGGTTTTCTAAAAACTGAAATAAATTTTAGAAATTCTAAACAAGGATTAGAATTCTAAGCACAGCGGAAAAATCATATCCACTCAACGTAGCCGTGAGTTCCAAAACTGTAATGGGGCGCAGATCTGCTATCCTATGTCGCGGACATTAGCCTTATCTGCCTGGTTTCTACCTACCTCAATGGAGCTCTTATGTACATGTCAATTAAACACTATAACACCATAACACATAAATGATTGCATAACTTCATAGTTCATCATGTTGATTTGATTTCACATCATATGAATGCTTGTATGTTGTTTTAATCCATGTTCTTATAGTATATTTTTGTTGTACAATGATTGGATGCATGCATGTTGAGCAAAGGAATGTAATTGTATAGAAAAAGAAATCCAAAATGCATGAAAACACAATGTCGCGAGCGCGCAAGGAGAAGTCGCGAGCGCGAGCTGCTTCCCAGAGAGAAGTCGCGAGCGCGTCTTCAAACCTCGCGAGCGCGAGATGCACCATTTGAGAGTCAGAGAGTTTTCTGGCTCAAGTCGCGACCGCACACGTCGCGAGCGCGCTTGTGTGATTCGCGAGCGCGAGATGCGCACACTGAGAGTCAGAGAGCTTCTGGCCAAAGTTGCGACCGTGCATGTGATCCTCGCGAGCGCGAGTTGTGCAATTGAGAGTCAGAGAGCTACCTGACTCAAGTCGCGAGCGCGCAATAGGAAATCGCGAGTGATGCGCGAGCGCGCGACCGTTTTTTCCAGATTGTGCAGTCTGTGTTCTTTTGGGCCATAACTCGCCTGCGCAGTCTGCACTCTTTTGGTCATATCTCTCAATATACAAATCCAATTTGGGTGATTCAAAAACCCATGCAAAGCTAACACATAGAGGAACGAATAACTCTTCTATAACACTTCCTAATTCCCTCATTAAATGGGGTCAAAATCAAGATGAAGTCCTCCCCTGTTTTCAACATAATCTCAATACCTCCCCTGTTTTCACATCATGTCCAATCTTCTCACTCAACAACAAGCAACATATCATCTCACTAGCAACACACCACACAATTTACATGCAAAGAAACTAGTAAACAACATGAGATATCAAACCGTCAAACGGCTTGAAAACTCCTTGTTTCAGCTTCTCTTTTCTTGCAGCTTTTTTGAAACTTTTCCTTCTCCTATACACAAGAATTTCTCATTTAACTCATCTCCAATATAACTCAATTAAAGACTGAATAACATTATTAAC